TCCAGGCTGGCAGGGTGACCTGCCACTCAGTCCCTGCTGGTATGGGGACATCCCACTTTGGCTCTGTGCCCAGAGAAGGCTAAGAAGCAGTATCATAAAATATCGTGGCTGGGAGGTTCCTTCAGAAAGCACTGGTTCTACCTGACCCAGAGAGGTGCCGCAGGTGCAGGCCAAGGGAGTCTCCACTCCTCCCCCTTCCACCAGAACAGCCCAATTCATTTTTGAAATCTGTTTTATACACTGTGCTTCTGCAGAAGATTTCCAAAGACAGGGGTCTGCCATGTTTTTTAAAGCTTGAAAGCTGTTGTTCTCTGCCGACTCTTGCCTTTCCAGGCACGGAAACTGAGGCGTGAAAGACGTGCTCAGGGTCGCAGAAGCTGTGACTGACAGACACAGGAGGCCGCGGCAGCTGTGTGGCCTTGAAGCCGAGAGCTCTTTCCTGCCTCTCCACAACGGCCAGACGGGAAGACAGCGTTTCTGCTCCACACGCTTTCACGCCATTTCTCGGGATCCTTTAGCACGACAGCACTCCCGGGGTTTGCCATCTCTCCCCTCTCACCTCGCACGTCTCTGGCACGGCTACCAGTGTGGCTGCCTCGACACGTGTCAGTGGAAGCTCCCTGGGCAAGGCGCCCGCAGCAGCAGCCTGGGACCACGGCAGGTGTAAATCAAACAAAGGAAAATCTTGATAATTGGACGACAAGGGAGATGGCGAACAACTTTCTTACTAAGGAGAGAACAACGCTTATCTCTATATTGACTCCCCCTACAGTGAAACAGACTTGCGCGCAGACACAATTGCATGAACTTTTTTAAGGGCATGTCGGTCTCAGAGAGTGCATGGACCCTTGGCGTTTCCACTGCGAGGGCCACCCCCAGACGGGAGCAGCAGCGTTACACGCTCTGTGCTGCTTGGAATAATGTTACAACGTTGTGCTCTGCCCACTCCCTCGAAGGTAAAGGGAGAGTCCGATATGCGTCTCCATTTGTGAGGGGCAAACCTCTTTCCCCTGTGAGGGCTTGTCAGTGTGATGCTAAAAATGGCCCTTTGGTTGCCTTGTGAGTAATTGACTCTCTGACGCTGACGACACTTAGGGAAATGAAGGTATAAATGATGGCAGCGCCGCGCAGCCACGGGCGCAAACGCGAGCCTGAGGTCCGTGGGGCTGGAGCGGCGCCTCGTAGCAGAGGGAGACCTGCCACATCGCAGGCGAGAGGGGGCAGGAGAGTTGCTGACCTTCTCGCCGACTCGGGAAACACCGAGTCAGAGAGGCCCACTGCCATCCTCTTTGCCCGGGGACCGGTGAGTACATTTAGGCGCCTCGTTAGGGGCTCTGCAACATGCTTTGTGGTGGTGGGCGCCATACCGAGCAGACAGGCATCGCGCAGGTGTCCAACGGAGGCGGGCGAGGTCTCAGCGCTCCTTCGAACACGTGTAGGCAGGCTTCTGGGGCAAGACGTGGGCTGGCTAGCTTCTCCTGCTGACAGCCGGACGCTGCCGGGGATCGGCAAGGAGCCCAGCAGCTGCGCACGTCAATACCGCGCATCGATCGCGGAGACCCGATTCCACATAATTGCCTGGAAATGGATAACATTTCGCTTTCTTGCTCAATTGCAGCTGCACTCATCCGTCTAGGTTTTAGACACAATTACCTGCCTCAACCCCGGACTGGAAGGAGATGTCGTGTCACTCTCTTGAATGGCAATTCAAGACAATTCCTCATTAAAAACTTAGAGATCTCCTGAGACTTGGAACGCTATTGGCAAAACAGTTTACAAACCGGGACTGGGGTCCTTAAATTACAAAGCAGAATATGTGAGAAAGATAAAAGGTTTTTCTCCTTAGGTGTTCAAAAGAGGCCTTGACGGTTTGAGCACTTGAGACCTGACCTCTGTCAGTAGCTGAAGGCGCATCCGCAGAATTCTCGCGGCCTGAAGGCTGGCAAGGGTGCCGGCTGATGGGGATCGATGCCCACTCGCCCCGAATCCAGACGACCTCACATGTATCTAATCATGGAATTAGTCTGTAAGCACCGCAGAAAGCTAGCTGCTCCCCGTAGTGAGAGATACAAGACCCTGAAACGCCCCGGAGCCATCCGGGAGCTGTCCGTGATGCCGCTGGGTCTGCGCTCCACTTCAAGCCCTGGATTCCAGCTCCTCAGACTGGTCGCGTGAAAGGCGTCTGTCAACAGCGCTATTCTTGGTGACGCAACCTCTATTCTACTCATAGCATGAGCGGGACAATTCTATTGTTTCCTGTCTTCGTCCAGTGGGATTTTCCAACCCCTGGATGGGGTCCTCTCGACCCAAAGGTTGCAGTGGTGTCCGACCCCTCCCCGGGGCACTTAGTTTATGGCACACGCTGCCCCTCTTGGTTGACCAGACCACACAGTTCCTCAGCGTCTTTCTGAATGAGCAGGGGGTTCCTACTGGATTTGCTGTGACTTGCTCCCCAGGCCTGCCCTCTTACCAGGTTATTTTCAACTCCCTAAACCACTGCGTGTGTGGAGGGGTGCACCAACCAAGCAGGCGTTCCTGTTTGTCCCCCTTCTTTCTTCCCCAGAGACCTGATGGCAAAAAGCAAAAGCTTTCCGTTTCCCCAGACCCATTCCCCACGTGCAGGTGATGAATTCTGAAGCGCCCCATGAATGGGGAACCCTGTGAATGGGGTATTGTGTCTGGGAGGCGGCTGCACGGAGCAGGAGGAAGTCGGCCGGCCTGGGAACTGCGAGGCCCATTCTGCAGTGCACGCTCCGAAACTAATTTGATGGAGGACCATGAAAAAAGGCCCTTCCCTCTGGGCTCCTTTCCTCGGCTATAAAAGGAAGATCACGATACCTGCCCCGAGGGCGAGTGTGAGGGTGGGCTGGGTGGGCCAGGAGGGCACAGGGGCTGGGAATCACTTGTCCAGCCCCCGGAGAAGGTGCAGGAGGTGGGAAGGCCGAGGGAGGGCTTATGCTAAGAGCAGGGGTTTTGCTTCGTTCTTGAGGGGCTGGGGACTGAGGGCTTCTGAGCGCAGTGAGTGGGGTGATGAGGGGCCTAGATGTGCTCAGGCCTTTAAAAGACCGGCCACCAGGAAGATGAGAAAGCCCGGGCTGCAGCTGGGAAAATGGAGTGGTTGTGTCCAGAGGTCCTCCTTGCCTCCAAAGATCTCCCTGCTTAGGGAACTCCGGCAGAGGGTCCCGTCAGGAAAGGGGAGCCACACGTGATGCGGCATGATGAGGAGGACACAAGACGGAAGGTCCTCGGTTTGGGGATCAAAGACCTAAGCTAGACGAAAAACACAGCCTTTTGTGTGGATGAGGGTGCAGGAGCTCTGGGTGGCATGACAGGTGGATGCCAAAGGGGCAGCCCTTGGGGGCAGATACCATGTTCTCATCTTTTCTCTAGCCTGGCCCTTACCGGAAGCTTAACAAGTATTTGCAGGACAAGGGCACTTGGACTTGACACAATAAGAAACACTTTCTAACAAGAAGAGCTGCCTGGAAATAGGACAGACTCGCTTGAGGTAGTGAGTTCCCTGTCATTCACGGGCAACAACTGTTGGAGCAGGAACTGAAGGATTGCCTGGGGGTAGGGTGGAGGGAGGGTGCACATCAAGGAAGGACTGACGACTGAGGCCTGGATGGTGGCTCCCTCCAGCTCTGGAGGCGTGGGGGTCTCACCTGCATTAAGCTGCCCCATGTGCTTCCTTGGGTCTCAAGGCATCCCTGGGTCAGCACCCAGTGTCCCGAAGCAGTAGGGTGATGCCCTGAGAGAGCAGGTGAGCCCAGGAAGGGAAGGTGGATTCTGCCCATGCCGATTCTGCCGGCCAGGAATCCCTCTCCTGGGCAGGACCAGGGCAGGACGTGGAGCAGCGAGGGGTGTTCATGGGAAAGGAGGGGTCCTGCCCTCTCTGGGGCTGGCGGGTCTTCTGGACAGGTCTGTATCCCCATGGAGTGGACATCCTGCGGAAGCGGGTGGGGAGCATGGGAAGTGGGAAGACCCAGTTCGTTCCTAGGTGGCTGACTCCCACCAGGGCCGGTCTGTGTTGGCAGTGGTGGCACCTCCCCAGCAGAGGAGGGCTCTTTCCCCGTTGTCTGTTCTTCCTCTAATTGCAGAGTACCGTAGGCAGGCCCCAATTAAGGGTAATTACATGATCTACGAGCTAATTTTGCTGCATGAGCTCCCCAGGTTCCCTTGTCTCTTCCAGGACTCAAATTCTTTGGTGACACCTAAGCGTCCAGAGCAAGATTTATAGCCTTTCCTTCCCTCCAACTCCACGCAAAGCTAAAACAGCTCCTGACTAATGTGACTCCCCGAGCGGGTCTAATATTAGATCATCACAGCAGACGTTGGTGGGGCGTTCCCCACGTGCCAAACTACAGGTGCTTCACTCCATCTAATGCTTGTGGGGACCCTCTGCAGTAACACAGCTGTGGATTCCATGTTATGGATGGGGAGACGAAACTGGGGCCCAGAAAGGAGAAGCCACTTGTCCTGGGTGGCACAGCCAGGGATGGCAGAGCCTGATTCTGGACTCAGGTTTGTCTGGCTCAGGACCCGAGCTGTTAGCCCTGCTTAGTACTGTCAGTGCCACTTGGGGCTGGGGGTGACTTGGGAGAGACTAAGGGGAGGTGCTTGCTCCTGCCCTATTCCTTACTGCAGCCTGAATTCCACGTATAATGCCTCACAGGAGGGGGCAGTTTCACCATTATCTTTAATTTCCTGTTCAACCCTATGAAGTAGCAGGGTAGCTTCACCGTGCCCATTTTACCGATGGAGAAAATGAGGTCAAAGCTCGTGGCTGGCAGAGGCAGAACTGGAACCCAGGTCTATCTGACTTCCAGAGTCTGGGCTCTTTTTCCTACCCCACACTTCCAAGGGACAAAGGACCACAGCCTGCACAGAGCCAAGTCCAGGGCTGGGCCCACCCAGCCAGCAAAGGGCATCTCTGTGGCTATGGCTACAGCTGGCCTTTCCTCCTGTCGTTTTTCCAGGTGCCACCACGAGAGTGAAGGATGCTGCTCTGGGTGTTCTTCCTCATGATCCTAACCTTCAGCAGTGGCTCCCACTGCTCCTCGCCCTCCCCGACCCTCAGGTAAGTGGTCCTGCCGACAGGGCTTGGGTTTTTGCTGCCCCAAAAGCATCCCTGCTGGAGGAGGGGTGCTAGGAGGATGCAGAATCAAGCCATCGGCTGGCCTCAGCCGCCTCCTCAGGCAGCCCCCATCACCCATCACCGGGAAGGGGCCAGATTCTGAGTCTGTCCAAGGAGGCTGTCCAGCCCAGGTTCCATCTGTCTCTGGGGATGAGCAGGGCCAAGGGCGACACAGGGCTTACAGAGACCTGGTGAATGAAGCCACCTCAGTCCCCTCACCGGGGCCCACCATACCACCCTTTGACCTTTGACTCCTCCCATGTAGGGTGCCACGGTATGCCCACAAGATTTTCACTGACAGCTTTCGGGAGATTCTGAACCAGCTGTTTGCCTATGACCGTCTCCAGAACGTCTCGAGCAGGCAGCAGGGGTGAGCAGAGGTTCTTGGGATTGTTTTCTATGCCACAAGTACATCAGTTGGGAGGGACCAAGTTTGGCTTCTTCCTCTGCACAGCATCTGTCATTTCTGGCCTTGGCAGAGCAGAAGGACCCCAATGTCAAAGCTCAGCTTACCTCTCACTATTAAGTGACCATTGAACACCTACGATGTGCCTTTTCCTGTGCTAGCATCCAATAGTAACAACACTGAGGGTAGTTACCATGGAGCACTACTCCGTGCCAGAAACGAAGGCTGTGCACTGGGACATTTCCGTGCTCCCCGCACAGTGCTGGGCACAGCGAGCCCTTAGTAGTGTTAGCCATTATTCTTCGTTTCTTATTTGCTCTCCCCAACAAGCCTAGAAAGTCAGACTCTTACCCCATTGGCCAGAGCCATTCATAGTTTCTAAAGGATACACACCAAAGACTGGCAGAGTCTAACCCTGCAGCCTGCACATTTTGCAGTTTCCATTTTGAACAAATTCCAAACTTACAGAGAATCTGCATCAGTGGTACCAAGGACTTCCACGTGCATTTCCCTGGGTTCAACAATTCCTCATATTTTATCAGACTTGCTTACTCTGTATCTACACCTGGATACAGAGCTATACATACACAGGTACACGCTTATTAATATTATTATTATTTTGCTAAATGATTTGAGAGTAAATTGCAGTCACCACAACCCTTTACCCTTAAATACTACTGTGGGTGTCTCCCGGTATCTAATGAAAGGACATTGTCTCACATAATCACAGTATAATCATCACTTGGAGTCCCTATTCAAATTTTAGCGGTTGTCCCAAAATGTCCTTTTTAACAATCATTTCTTTTCCTGAGTCAGTCGTCATGTCCCTCCAGTTCCTCCGTCGTTCACGCCGTTGACATCTGGTTTGGTGAAGGCGGTTGTCCACAGCGCGTCCTCACACTGGAGGTGCCTGATGTGCCCTCGCGGCGGATTCAGGCTACGCGACACAAGTGATGCGGTGTTTTCTCAGTGTGTCATGTCAGGCGGCACACGAGGTCGATTTGCCACGATGTTGGTGATAGTGACTTTGACCACTTGGTTCACGTGGCATCTGCCTGATTTCTCCTCTGTAAATGAGTATTTTTCCCTTTGTCATTAATAATCAGTCTGTGGGGAGGTATTTTGTGAATGGCTATTTCGAAGCCTATTCTCTCACTACATACTCACATATTCTGCCTTCCTGCGAGCTGTGGAACCTAATTCAGTTGGGTGGAAGCATCCAGACCAGATAGCAGGAGAGGCACAGGGACACTCCCTGCTCTGCTCACTTTGCCTTGCTTGGCCCTTCCCGGGCCCCTCCACACCCTACCCAAAGAGCAACCTCAACCATTTCTTTCTAATCACACAGAAAGAGAAACCAGGAGCAAGGAGCAAAGGCATGGCTTGACCGTCAGAGGGACAGCATATGGGAAGACCAAAAGCAGTTGGCACTGGAGAGCATCCTGGTGGCCCTGCCGAGGAAGCACAGGTAGGAACACGTGTAATTGTGTATGTGTGTGTGTGTGTGTGCATGACATGTGTGCATGTGTGTATTTAGGGAGCTCGAGGTGTCCTTCTCCGAAGGTCAGCGAGAAAAGGACAGAATCTCCCCCTCACCAAAGGCATGTGGCTCCGCCCACCCCTCCTTGCCCACATCAAGAACTGGAGCAAGGGGAGGAAATGGGAGATGGCGAGATCGCGCCCACTGCTGTCTGTATCTCCAGTGTGCAGCAAGAGGCCAGGCTCAGCGTCTGTGGCCCAAAACTGTACTGTCTGTCTCAATCGTTCTGGGATAGGCCCCGGAACCTGAATCTTCACAAGTGTCCCGGGGGTTCTGCTGGGCAGGGTCTGAGAGGCGTGCCCTCGCCAAGGTCGAGTAACTAGAACGCCGAAGGAAGACCGCGCCTCCCAGCGCCCTCAGGTAGACCAGTGCGAGCGGCCCTCACCTGAGGAGGAGGTGGAATGACAGTTGTTGTCCATCTCGGTGACCCTCACGTTCCCACGGGGAGTCAGGGAAGATCAGGAATGAGTTTTCCCGTTTTCCAGAGAAGGGGAAACTGAGGCAAAGAAGGGGCAGCAGCTGGCTTCAAGTCAAGGACTGGTGGGCCCAACCAAGGCCCGCTCTGCTTCTCTGAAGCTCCTTCACGGGGAGTCTCTGTAACGGACAGTTTCCCAAGAACGGCACGGCTGGAGGGGCTCTGCTGCGGCTTGAGGCCGAGCTTCCACTGCGAGCCCGAACACGTCCCAGCACGACTCTGCCAGGCACTTCTGGGCCCATTAAGCAAATCCAGTTCCCGGCAGAGCTCTCCCTGCGCTCCCTCACCTTCCCAGCCTAATCAGACACCAAGAGCTCGGAGATCTCACCAGCTACAGGCCTGTGGAGACACAAGCAGCAAGCGGCAGGCTGCGGGGCAGCTAGGCTGCTGGGGGTGGGGGGCAAGAACCAGGCCGGGGTGGGGCAGGATGCACACCTGGGTCCCCGTCTCATTCTGCGGCCACTTCGCTGTACACGACAAGCAGGTTTCTTAGCTTCCTCCTCCGTGAAAACCGGGGGTTAGCCCCATCCACCTCTAAGGTCCCTGACACCTCTAAGTGTAGTGCCTACCCTGTGCCTCTCACACTGTGATTAGGTCCTCATTCACTGGCTTTGCGGCTCCCTCCAGGTGTCGGTGGGGTGCAGTAGCCCCAAGGAGGGCCAACTCCTAAGAAGGCAGGCTTTGGTCCTGCAGGTTAAAAGCCACAGGCTTCACAGAACAGTAGGAAAGGCTCTGGAGGCCTTTACGGCACATTGTTGCCCCTCCAGCTCAACTGCTGCAAATACCGTTCACTGGATGTCCCTGGGGAGCCGGGCAAACAGAAACTAAGAGTGCGTTCTTGCACCTTGGGGATGCAGAGCAGAACGATCTGCCAGATGGCACGCTTCTGCACCCACCACGCTCATGGGCACCCAGCAACCCTGGACCATAACTGAGGTTCGGATCTGCGTGTCCTCCTGCCTCTTGAAAGCCATCCAGTGGCTTTTATGTGCCGAGCTCTGGGCTGAGGGCGCAGCAGTGGTCCATGCTCGCGTGGCGCTCATGATGCGCCAGGGCAGACAAAACTCAAACAAGGACTTGTACTACGGTTGGTTCTTTAGCTCGTGATCAATGGTGAAAGACGTGGTAGGTGTGGTGAGGATGGGTCCCGGAAGGAATAACCTAATCTAACCATGTCTGGGGATTAGAGGTGACCTCAAGCGGAAGTGACCAGCTGGGGGTCTCAGTGGGAGTGGATTAGCAGAACCGGGGCTAAGAATGAGGTTCTTTTTATTATCATTATTATTTTTAATTTTCAATAACAGCCAACATACAATATTATACTAGTTTCTGTTGTACAACATAGTGATTAGACACTTAGAAAACTTACGAAGTGATCACCCCGATAAGTCTAGCACCCATCTGACACTGTACACGGTTACTGGGATATGATTGACTATATCCTCTATGCTGAACCTTACATCCCGGGACTGTTTTCCTAACTGCCAATTTGTTCTTCTTGATCCCTTTGCCTGTTCCTCCCACCCCCCAAACCTCCTCCCATCCAGCAACCACCCATTTGTTCTCTGTGTCTCTGTCTTCTTCACCCACTGGTCTCTTGGTGGGCGCTTTCGTTGCTTCCATGTCTTGGCTATGGTAAACAGCGGTGCAGCGAACATAGGGGTGTGTACATCTTTTTGAATTAGTGTTTCAGATTTCTTCAGGGAAAGACCCAGGAGTGGGATTGCTGAGTCATGGGGTAGTTCTACGTTTAATTTTTTTAGGACCCTCCGCACCGTTGTACACAGTGACTGGGCCAACTTACGGCCCCACCAACAGTCACCAGCATTCTCTGTTCAAGAATGAGCTTCTCTGGGGACCAGACAGCCAGTCCTGACCCGGGAGCATCCATCACCCTGGTTCCCAGTGCCCCTGCCCCAGCTCGCCCTCCCCTCAGTCCCTGACGGAGCCTGTTCTTTCTTTCCACAGCAGGAATTCCCGAGGATGAAGAGACTGCCGTGTCTGATGCTGCCTGCAGCCAAAACGCAACTGCAGCCACTTAATCCTGTTTAATTTTTGACCTACTTTTTCCTTTGTAAATACAATAAAATTCCCCTTTCCCGGTCTGCAGTTCAGTTTCCTTTTATCTTCCGCCTAATTTTTTACATGGTTGACATAGTTACATTTCCCAAAGTGGTATTACATGGCGTAAGAAAAAAATAGCTAACATTTATCAGAGTACCGGCTGGGTAGCTTCATGCCTGGAATCTCATATACTCCTCACACAGCCCAACGGGAGGAACTGGAGTCCTTCTCATTTCACAGACAAGGAACCGAGGTACAGAAAGGTTACCTGGATTGCCACAGGCACAGCCGGCAAGGAGAGAGAGCTGGGATTCGAACTGAGGCAGTCCAGCCCAGGACCAGCCTCTTAACCATATTCTTCTTCTCTGCACCAGACTCATCCTTCATCCATTGGTGACTTGCTCGTCTATGAGCAGAACCACTTATTCATTCAACAAATATTTATAGAGTACCCACTATGTGCCAGGCACTGGGGATATAGTCGTGAGCAAACAAAGTCCCTGACCTCAGAGAGCTTATCTTCAAATTAGGGGAAGAGTAACAAAAAACAAGTAAATATAGAATGTGTCAGGCGGTGGCAATTACAGTACAAAGGATAAAAATTTAAGGGGGTAAAGCCCAGGCCAGGTGGCTCAATTGGTTGGAGCATTGTCCCATGTGCCAAAAGTGTGTGGGTTCGATTCCCGATCAGGGTACGTACTCAGGTTGTGGGTTTGATCCCAGGTCTCTCTTTCTCTCCTTTCCTCTCTCTCTAAAATCAATAAAAACACATCCTTGGGTGAGCATTGAAAAACAATTTAAGGGGACGGGGAGGCTGGAGGATGTTCTGTTATCTATAATGTATACATGTGCTGTGTAGGGCTCAGGGAAGGCCTCCTCGGTGAGGTGACATTTGAGTAAAGGCCTGAAGGAAGCAGGGCATTGGCCTCGTGAATATCTGGGTAAAGCACATTCCGTGCAGAGTGAAAACCCAAAGGCCCGGAGGCAAAAGTGGGGAAGGAGGAAGAGCGAGGAAGTCAGAGTGGCTAGAACGGAAAGAGGGCGTGAGGGGAGGGAAAGGAGGTCCCGACGGAGCAGGGGGCCGGCTCATGAGGACCCTGGGAGGCCATGGTGAGGGCGTGGGGTCTCATCCTTGGGGAGACAGCAGCCGCCCCAGAGTTTAAGTAAAAGGATGAAATCATCTTGCTTCTCTAACGCTACTCTGAGGTAGGGTCACGTTCTGGGTACATTTTTAGGGTAGAACTCATTTGCTGATGGGTGGGGTGTGGGGATTGGAGAAGAGTCGAGAATGACTCCAAAGGGCAACCGGTGGATGGAATTGCCCTTTAGGTGCTTTGGGGGTGGGGAAGAATAGGGAGACGGGTTAGACATATGGAGTCTGAGAGGCTATTAAAGGTCCGAGTGAGGGTGTCGAGCCGGTGCCTAGATTCACGGGCTGGAGATGGAGTCAGGGGAGCAGTCTGGGCAGCCAGTTTGGTCTGGCCGCTGTCACCATCTAGAGAAGTGAGTGAGGCCACCGGGGAATAAGTACACAAAGAGGAGAGGAGAGGCCCAAGGACTGATCCTGGGACACGCCCACTTTGGAAATTTGGAAGAAAGGTGAGCCAGCAAAGAAGCCTGAGGAGGAGCAGGCAGTGAGCTGTTGGGAAAACTATGAGAGAGAGAAATTCCGGAAGCCAGCTGAAAAAAAAGTGTTTCAAGGGAGCGACCTGCTGTACCAAGTGCTGCTGATGGGTCAAGCCACTTGAAAATGGACCACAGACGTGACCGTGGAAGCCACGGATGACCTTGGTGAGAACCAGTTGGGTGGAGTGGTGAAGACAAAAGTCTGACGTGAGTGGGTTCAAGAGCAAATGGTAGGAGAGGAGTCCCAGCTGGTACATATCGACCTTGCCGACCAACATGAAGGCCAATAGCCACAGGTGGCACGGAACCCTCGAACTGTGGCTAGTACGCATCACATGTAACACAGACACTGCATTTCAAAGACAATATGGAAAAAGGATATAAAATATCTCAAAAAAGTTTTTGTATTGATTACATGTTAAAATAATAGTTTGGATATATTAGGTTAAATAACATTAAAAATAATTTCACCTGTTTCTCTTTTACTTTTTTATTATAGTTATTAGAAAACATAAAATCTTGGGTAGAGTTAACTCTTTTGATTTTTGCTGTAAAAGGAAGCTGAGAACTGAAGTGACTGACCAGAGGTAGCTGTGTCAATGATCACTCGACTCTTTCTGTTTGTGAACCGTTTCCCCTGGTCCAGGTACCTCCCCCGCCCACGTCACCAACCCCACCCGTGCCTCTTATTAGAACCTGGGAACCTGCGAGGGGAATCAAAATGCTCTGTATTTTAAGTTGGATAATGGTTATTCTGGTGTCATTATATGTAAAAATTCATTGAGCTGCACACTTAAAGATTTGTACATTTTACTGTATATAAATTAAATCTTTTTTTTTTTAAAGATGAAGTCTGGATGCTAAAATGTCTGTTTGGATGAAAAGCAGGAGCCACAGCAGTTTAGAGTTGGTGGGGACTGAGAGATGTGCAGCGCCACCCGGTCACTTCCCAGCTGGGACACACAGTCCCACGCACCTGTCTCCCAGCACCGGGACGGAAAGCCACCTCAGTTCGTCACAGGGTTCAGACCACCTGCTCTCTCTGGGAGCCCAGTTTACCTTCCAAGAAAGGATGTGAATTGTGGGAAAGGCTCAACAGGGGGCCTCTGTGGTGGCAGGCGGAGGAGACAGTAGGAACAATGGGGAAACAAAAGCCCCCTCCAGAGGAGAAAGCTGGCCATCGAAGGCAGGCAGTCCACTTCAACCAAGAGTCACGGGCCGCCAAGAACCTGCCAAGGAACAATGGAGGGGACCGCTGAATGGGGGGTGCCCGGGCCTGCTCCGTCCCCCAGACCCACCTGCTCATCTCTTTCCTCCACCTGCCCCCACAAAAGCAAGTAGTGAAGGCTCTCTCGACTTCCAATTAGTTTTTCAAATGAAGGAACGGCCACCAGGACCCACTGCTCCTTGTGGTTTGAGAGGTGAATGCAATGATAAAGGCAGAAACCACGAGGGCAACAATTCCGGTGCTTCATCACCCTTAACGATGACACTAATGGAGTCTCAAAAGACTTAATCCCTCCCCACAGAGGTGCTGGGGCGTCCCATCCCGTGGGGGTCCTACTTAAGACCAAATGCTATTTTTTCCCCTAAAGAAAGGCTCTAATCAATGGGGGACTCATCACTTCCAATAATAACCCCTTTTGTTTGTATTAAAGTTCACAAAGAGGTTTGCCCTGCAGTGTTTCTCTTGCTCCCCCCACGGCCCGCTGGAGAAGCCCGCTGGGGAAGCCCGCTGGAGAAAGGCGGAGCAGGGTGCCGGCCTCCCACAGGGGTGAGAGGTCAGGTGACTCGGCCAGGTCCTACCTGCAGTGGAAGGAGCAAAGTTGGGAAGGGAGTCCTGATTCCAAGACTCCAGGCCCCTCAGGAAACGTGAGCTGGGAATCAAGTAAATTAAAAGAGCAAACACCATGGACGTGGGACAAACTGTCTCATGGGCTCCTGCTGACAACGCACAGGAAATAATAATAATGTCTACACTAATCAGAGTGAAGCGAGTCCATGTTAAGTGCCAGGCACTGTGGTATGTGCTTTGGGTGTGAGCTCCTTTCATCCATAGAAAGCCCTCAGAGGTAGTATTATTCCCATTTTTACTGATAGGAAACTGAGGCCCAGAGAGGAGCCTAACGACACACAGCAAATTAGGGCACTCAGAGCAGGTCAGCTGGACTCTAAACCACTGTGCTTAGTACTCCTTAGAGATGGCCCCGTGCAACTGTGGTGTCAAAGAAAAACCAGAGATGCACAGCTCAGGACTAGTGCAACAGGGGAAGAGACCTCAGTGCAGGGCTGGCTCAGTCCCAGTGCTGCACAGACAAGTCAGAACCTGGAGTTGAGGCACAGGGTGGGGATCAGAGGGTGAAAACTGATGAAGAGGAAGTATTGCAGGTCAGTGGGATTCAGGCTAAACCCACCAAACAGGATTCTTGCTGAAGGCAGGCCAGGACAATCCGATGTCACCAGGGGAAAGGCTGAGGCTGAGGCACCCGATCACATACCAAGGTGATCATATCTGGAGGGTGGGGGGTTCTGGTTAAACTGACTCGGCAGGGTTCTCGATAAGACGAGATTGCACAAGGAAGTGCACAGGTGGGCCCAGGAGAAGGTCTGACAGCCTGACTGAAGTTTGGCCAAGCAAAGAATCTTTGTCAGTGGTGAATAACGTGAGCAACAAATCCAGTGGCCTTCCATAGCTCCAGGAACCAGGGCTGCTGTGGGCTCTGGGCTCCCCAGATTCTCCCCTGCAGCCTTGCTCGGGGGCGGAGCTAAGGGCTGTCCAAGAAGTTCCTCTCAGTGGGGGGGCCAGACGGTGAGCCTGTGAGGTGAACGTTTGCCTCCGCTATATTCCAGCCTCATATTCAAGTTCCCTAAAATTTGTCACCGGTCCTGAAATAAAATCTAGTCCCTTCACCATGGCCCTTAAAAGCCGGATTTGTTCAGCCTTTTGAGGGTGCGCTCCTTGCTACCTACACCCCAGTTGTGCTGGCTTAATTTCACTCAAATACGTCAAGATCTTGCCTCAGAGCCTTTGCATATGTTAATTCTCTGCCTGTAGCCCTCTTCCCAGCTCTGCCAAGGCCTGTCCCTGGGGTGTCTGCTTGGCTTTCCCAACCCCTCTAGGTAAACACTGCTCCCTTTGAAGGCCTTCTAACGTTCGTCATCACTTCGCTCCTTTCCCTGTCTCCTCCGGGTTCTAAGGGGACCAAGGGCAGGGAGCCTATCTGTCTTGCTCACTGCGGTGGTTCGGGGCCAGCCTGGCAGGGAGCCACTGTCTGCTGTTGCTTGATTCTCCAGCTC